GCTCCTTTGCTGTGTTTATTGTTAATTATGGCAATTATTATCATTACCATATTACATTACCGTCCGTGCCCATGGCATCTGGCCCACATGGGAACATAGTTGCTGAACCCTGACAGGGACAATTCATTTATCATAGGTAATTCAGTGTAATTAATCTCTTAATTATTTTCAGACAAAGTCCAATGACTGAAATTTTCCATTAATGTTTTACTCGGACCGGTCTGGCTGCCCTTTTACACCATACAAAGTGTGTACACTTCAAGTTCTCCATTATTGACAATATAAAGGTCAGATTGTCACCTGTATAGATCTGCACTAGGGGTGAAACTTGTATTCTATCCCACTGTCGCGGGCTTCAATTTACCATAATTGTTTGACTCTACCCTTAGAATTCTGGGAAATGTAGTCATGCAACAGCTAAACGGCCAAGGTTAGAGGGGCCCTGCGTGTTTTGTACTTGTCATACAAATACTTACTGCGGGGACTTTAAATGGACACTTTAGGCTTTGAAGCAAGCCATATTTTTAAAATGCATTATATAAATCATGTATTACTAATTTGCCAAAAAATCAACATAAATAAAAAAAAGAAATAAAAGGAAAAATGAAATCTGTAACAGTTCTGTATTTGCAGTGAGCTCAGCCCAGACCAGGAAGTGGCTCAGCCAATCAGAAGGCTCGCATTCAGTTTAAAGGAGCTCAGTAGGCTTTATGGGATACGCTGGAATTAAATCCATCATATAGGCTAAATATTGGAAGGTATGCAAAACAAAACAGGAAGAGCGCTTAAATATATATCGCATTTACATGTTAATTTATTTCTGTGTGTGTTTCTGTGTGTAGCTGTGTATATATGTGCAAGTATCGTAATGTGCATCTAGCAGTGTGTGTGTTTGTTTGCGCATGTCTGGGTTTGTGAGTGTGTGTTTGTGAATATATGTATGTTTGTTTGTGAGTGTGTGTTTTTGTTTGGCAGTGTGTAAGTTTGTGAGCGTGTGTATGTTTGGCAGTATGTGTGTTTATTTGGGAGTATGTGTGTACGTTTGTTTGGGAGTGTGTGTGTGTGTGTATGTATGTTTGTTTAGGAATGTGTGTGTGCATGTTTGTTTGGCCATGTGTATGTTTATTTGGGAGTATATGTGCATGTTTGTTTGGAAATGTGTGTGTGTATGTTTGTTTGGAAGTGTGTGTGTGTGTGTATGTATGTTTGTTTAGGAGTGTGTGTGTATGTTTGTTTGAAACCAGGAAGAGCCTCTTAAAGGACCACTATAGTGCCAGGAAAACATACTTGTTTTCCTGGCTCTGTAGGGTCTTTGGATACCCCCCCCCACCCTCATGGCCCTCCTCCCGCCGGGCTGAAGGGGGAGGAAGGGGTTAATCCCTTACCTTTTTTCCGGCACCGGGCTCCCTCAGTGCTGGGGACTCTCCTCCCTCTTCCGACGTCATCTTGCCCGGCAAAAGCTGCGCGCGCATTCAGTCAGTCCATAGGAAAGCATTTCTCAATGCTTTCCGATGGACGGCAGCGTCTTCTCACAGTGAGAAGCGCGGAAGCGCCTCTAGCGACTGTCAATGAGACAGCCACTAGAGGCTGGATTAACCCTATTGTAAACATAGCCGTTTCTCTCAGCTGCAGGGTTAACCCCAGATGGACCTGCCACCCAGACCACTTTATTAAGCTGAGTTGGTCTGGGTGCCTATAGTGGTCCTTTAACACCATAGGGCTACGGGGACTGGGACATTGCACCCAGACCTGTTTAGAAAAGTGGGACAGAGGGATTTGGGCACAAAATAGGGACTGTCCCTCCTAAATAGGGACACGTTGATGGTGTGTTAATACAGATATTAGAATAGCTATTATAGTATACAGCTGTTATATTACACAGCCATAATGTCTGGCTATAAAATAATAATGTGTGCATTTCCTGACACTAACCATGAAGCTGGCAGTGCCCATAACAAAGATGGCCGCCGCCCTCTTCCAATGCCTGGCCACCCCGGTCTTACACCGCGCCCTCACCTAACATGGCCGCCACGGCCTCACACCGCGCCCTCACCTAACATGGCCGCCCCGGCCTCACACCGCGCCCTCACCTAACATGGCTGCCCCGGCCTCACACCGCGCCCTCACCTAAGATGGCTGCCCCGGCCTCACACCGCGTTCTCACCTAACATGGCCGCCCCGGCCTCACACCGCGCCCTCACCTAACATGGCTGCCCCGGCCTCACAACGCGCCCTCACCTAACATGGCCGCTCCGCCCACACTGCGCCTGCACCTAACATGGCCGTCCCGGCCTCACACCGCACCCGCACCTAACATGGCCGCCCCGGCATCACACCGCGCCCTCACCTAACATGGCCGCCCCGGCTTCACACCGCGCCCTCACCTAACATGGCCGCCCGGCATCACACCGCGTCATCACCTAACATGGCTGCCTCGGCCTCACACCGCGCCTTAACCTAACATGGCCGCCCCGGCCTCACACCGCGCCCTCACCTAACATGGCTGCCCCGGCCTCATACTGCGCCCTCACCTAACATGGCCGCCCCGGGATCACACCGCGCCCTCACCTAACATTGCCGCCCCGGCCTCACACCGCGCCCTCACCTAACATGGCCGCCCGGCTTCACACCGCGCCCTCACCTAACATGGCTGCCCCGGGATCACACCGCGCCCTCACCTAACATGGCCGCCCGGCATCACACCGCGCCCTTGTGACGAAATGCATTTTGTCCCTGGATTGTTAGGTGACAAGCTGCCCTTTGCCCCGGCTTTTGGAGGAGCCTGATTGCCAGCCTCCTTCCTCATGACTATGGCCCTGGGGTGTATTGCCATTTAAAAAGACTATTTGGGGCTTATTGGCTTCTAAAGACAGTTTCTTCCCATTTGAATCCATGGGAAGGTGTGTTTTTTCCCCTCCCCCGTTTCCTGTCTATTGTTCTCCAGCAGGGTGTTGTCCCAGGCACACTGCCAAACCAGTTGGAACTGACTGCTTTTGTCCCTCCTTGGTTTCTCAACAGCCCTTGCTATGCTTTACCCTGTGGAAAATCTACTCTGTTCATGGGATCTGAGTGCTGTTCACCTAGATTGGGCGCTCAGATCCGAGCTATCTGGGGATAGGTTAAATGTGGGGGTTCTGTGTAATAAAATAAGAATGATGTATTTTTATGTACTTTTACGTATTTTGCTGTTAGTGTTAAATGTAGATATTTTCTGTACCTGGAGATAATTGAGTTTACTGCAGTGCCTTAAGCCAATTATCTCCAGGATGGAGAGGAGGGATTTCATTGTGTATGTGAGAGTGTTATCATGTTAATTAGTGTTCCCATTAGTTTGTGTCCCTTTTGTCACAGTTTACCACCAGGTCCAGGGGTGTGCCTCTGACCTGAAAACTTGTATATAAGGAGTAATAAACGCTCATTGGAGTCAGATCATCTTGTACCTTCATGAAGTTTCGGCTCATGTTTGGGGGATTGGAGAAACTACACTCTGGGGATTGCTATAATCACTATACTCCCCAGGGTATAATCACTAAGCTCTGCTAAGAGCTTGTTCCTGTTCCTGCTCTCTGGAATTCGGAGAGGTCGACCTACTGGAAGCTGGACCCTGGTCTTGGGTCCAGAGTGGGTGGAGACGGCGAGACCCCAACCAAGCTGTGGCGGTTCGTGGGGTCTGCAGTGGTTATGGTGTCAGGCAGAGTGCTTGGAGTCCTCGGAAAGCACTAGGAGCATCCGTCGGCGGAAGGTACCCGGTCGGGGTGCCAGCGGTTCCGTCACAGCCCTCACCTAACATGGCCGCCCCGGCCTCACACCGCGCCCTCACCTAACATGGCTGCCCTGGCCTCACACCGCTCCTCAAATAACATGGCCGCCCCGTGATCACACCGCGCCCTCACCTAACATGGCCGCCCCGGCCTCACACCGCGCCCTCACCTAACATGGCCACCCCAGGCCTCACAACGCCCCCTCACCTAACATGGCCGCCCCGGCCTCACACCGTGCCCGCACCTAACATGGCCGCCCCGGCCTCACACCGCGCCCTCACCTAACATGGCCGCCCCGGCCTCACACCGCGCCCTCACCTAACATGGCCAGCCCGGCCTCACACCGCGCCCTCACCTAACATGGCCGCCCCGGCTTCACAAAGCGCCCTCACCTAACATGGCTGCCCTGTCCTCACACCGCG